AATAAATATAAATATAAATATATAGATGTATAAGGTTTCGATACGATCATTAACTCTTGATTGGAATGACTAGAATTCCCATTCTATATTCCCTAATAGTTTTGAACCCTACTTAATGGGAATATGAGTAACATGTTTGATTTTAGTGGCAAAATATTGGCATTTCTCGCTTTTTAACACGTAAAGCGACTGTAAGGCCTATTCCAGTTTTAACGATTCTTTCTAAGCCTTGATGACCCCGGATTATAAATGGGCTGTTTACATCAAATTCCATTGAAATTACTTGAAGGATTGTACAAATACTGAATAAGATCCGTATTACCGTAGGTGAATATGCTAAAATGCTCTAATCGTTTGGCTGTGTCCCGCCAGTGCAAAAAATTGGAATTAAAGTTGAGCGATCAGCCAAACAGTATTGCAAATAAGTTATAATTGATGTACTACTCATGGCGAGTATAATAGTAGCACCTATCTTGATGGCAAAGGAGTTTAGCTGAACGACTGTAGTCCATGTGTGCGAGTGTGAATTGCGGCAGGTCTGGTTTGCATTGAAAGTCGTATCTGTGCGTTAAGCAACTGCATTTAACGGTTGTGTGCTTGAGGAAAAATCTGTCAGGGCTTGACGCATACAAGCTTTATTTTTCGCATTTAAGTATTGTTTCGAGACTAAAAGTAAATCATTAGTATGAGATGTATTCACCCAATTTCGTTTAAGGTGATGAAAGACTGGTAGAATAATTACCCCACAAAGTATGAGCAGAGCTGACATTTCCATTGAAACGTCACATATTCACATAATCACATGTGAATATTCACATATTCACATATTCACATATTCACATATTCTTGCTTTCTTAAAAGTTGTTTTTATCCCACAACGTATATTTGCTATAACAATTGACTAAGTAATTTTATTTTTCGCATTTAAGTATTGTTTCGAGAGTACCAGTAAATCAGTAGTATGAGATGTATTTACCCAATTTCGTTTAAGGTGATGAAAGACTGGTAGAATAATTACCCCACAAAGTATGAGCAGAGCTGACGTTTCCATTGAAACGTCACATATTCACATAATCACATGTGAATATTCACATATTCACATAATCACATGTGAATATTCACATATTC